GGCCCGCTGAGCAATGAAGCTCTTTTTTTTTCCAGAAGCGACCTGGCCACAAATGATAGCTCAACGAAGTGGCTTATCGCGTGGAAATCTGTAGCAGTCAAAATACTCCAAACGCGTGTCGATTGTCAATGCGGAGGGGAAAAACGGAGAAAAATCCACGCGACAACGGGGAGAGAGAGACATGCGAACTGCATATATAGAGCAGGCGTCAGGGTCGGGGTCGAACCCACGACCTCCTGTATACCAGGCGACGGAGTTAACAGCTCGCCACCGTGCCCCCCCCCCCCCCCCCCCACTACGATAATTTTATGTATCGAGCAGAATTGTCTGGGCACGTGCCACCCACCCTCGGCGATTTGATGGCCAAACCGTGAGAGCCCAAGTGGATTAGTGCGCGTACTCATTCGCCGTAGCAATCACAACGAATTGTAGTTGGCATCGCCAAGACCCAGTGCCAACTTCTCCCGGGGGTGGGGGGGGGAGGAGAGGGGGGGCGAGGGGGGATGGGGGGGGAGGAGGGGGGGAGGAGGGGGAAGAAGAGGGGGAAGAAGAGGAGGGAAGAGGGGGGGAAAGGAGGAGGGGAGAGGAAGGGGGAGAGTGGTGGAAGAGGGGGAAGAAGAGGGGGGGGGGGGAGAGGGGGGGAGAGGGGGGAGGAGAGGGGAGGAGGAGGGGGGGGAAGAGGAAGTGGAGAAGAGGAGGGGGAGAAGAGGAGGGGGGAGAGGGGGGGGGAAGAGGGGGAGGGGAGAAGAGGGGGGATGGGGGATCCGTGACTCGCCCCGCCAGCCCTGATCTGTGATTATTTCAGATTGAGAGTGCGTCCTGCTCGCCACGCCAGTGGCTTTTTGCTGCGTAATGGATTTTGTTTTGTTTGTTATTGTTGTTATTGTTGTTGTTCTTCTTGCTCGAACACTTGCAGCAAATGCATGAATGTGCGCACGCACAAAGACAAAGATCCCCCGCTCCTCTCACCACCCCTCCCCCTATTGCCTTTCACGGACTGTTGGGGCAAGTGCTGTGAGCGAGGAGCGCTGATGAAGGCCGGCACGGCACACGAGGAGGGGGCTTTGGTGGCCAACGCCACCGCGGCCGTCTTTGTGTGCCCCCCCCCCCACCTCCCCCCAGTGGCCGAGGTTGCTGTACACACCGCGCCAGGCACTGCATTAAGGCTGAGTCGACTTAGGAGGGCGCCCGGGACCGGTTCAAACATTCACCGTTTGTTGGTCGCGAACGAGGGGCTGAACGGAACTCTGCAGTGCGCTAACTGCTGCGCCACCACTCCCCGTGAATGTGCGCACGCACGCACACACAATGGCAAAGACCTCCACCCCACTCCATATAGCCTCAACAGACTGTTGGGGCAAGTGCCGTTAGCGAGTAGCAGCGCCTATGAAGGGAGTCACGCTTTTTGTTTTGGGATTCGACTCGAGGGACATCAGGAGAGGGACCGCGTGAATGGGGCGGTTTGCGGACAAAACGTTGACCGCTCAGACAACGAAATCGGACCCTCGCCGCTACGGACAATTGCGTGGCCGGTGGGCAAGGATAACGATTGAATGGCAGCCGAAGGAGGGAGGGAATGCATCAACTAGGACGTCAAACTGCCGGAGGAGATGTCGCGGTGAGATCGACGCATTTGCGGGCTATACTTCTTCCTTCCTGTGTGTATGTTGAGCTTCTTTCGCACCGTACATAAACTACTAAACTACTGTTTTATTTTATTTTACCAGGTCAGGCCCATCGGGCTGTGTAGCTCTTTTTTTCAGAAGCGAGCTGGCGAGCACAAATGATAGCTCAACGAACTGGATTATCATCGTGTGGAAATGTACAGAAGCCAAATGCTCCACAACGCGTGATGTTGATTCTAAATGCAGAGTGGAAAAACCACGCGACCAAGGGGAGAGAGAGACACGCAAATGTCAAATATACAGCAGGCGTCATTGGTCGGGATCGAACACACGACCTCCTGCATACCAGGCGAGGTTGTTAACATCTCCTAGCCACCGTGATGATGAGAGAGAGACAAGCCCCAAATATACAGCAGGCGTCAGGATCGGGATTGAACCCGCGACTTCCTGTCCACCAGGCGAGGAAGTTAACATCTCCTAGCCACCGTGATGATGAGAGAGAGAGAGACGCAAACTCCAAATATACAGCAGCAGGCGTCAGGGTCGGGATCGAACCCACGACCTCCTGCATACCAGGCGAGGTTGTTGACATCTCCTAGCCACCGCGGCGCCCTACGTAGCCGACCGTGCAAATCGGAGGTGCGGCTGAAGGACAACAAACTAACCACAAACAACAACAACAACAACAAACATTTCCTGCTCCTCATCTTTAAGCAGAGCCCTCCTGCTTGTCTGTGATTGGGACTTTCTCTCTCCAAGCGTCGTTTCCTCGACTTGGCCCCCCCCCCACCGTGCCGTGGGTGTGTCACGGCAATAAAAATAAAATAGAAGATGCGTTGACGTTTTGATACTACCGCAGCAATTCATTCATAGCCGACTACTCGCGCTCGTTACGCACAAAGTGCTTGCCGCGAATGATCCACGATACGTCGCCGATGGCGTCAAGGAGCAAAGAGCACCACCACCATCATCATCATCACGCAACACTCCGGGTCATCGTCGACAGCAGCAGCGGCGGCGGCGGCGGCTTTTGGCTGCTAAGCCGTCGAGCTAAGACGGCGGCGGTCACCGCAAACGTCGCGTGGCGCTTTCAGATGCGCTTCTGCGGCCGCCTGGAACGCTCCTTCCTTTCGATATGTCGAGGCCACTGGAGCGATGCACTTTTAAATGATCAGCTACATTGAAAACTAATTTATTTTTTAAAAAAAAACTGATTTTGTGTTTAGTCTGCTGTCCTTCCCCCCGCACCTCCGATTCGCACGGTTGGCTACGTACGGTGCGAAAGAAGTCCATCATGGACACATGCGTACATTATTGCCGGCTCGTTGTTGAAGGTGTCCTGTTGGCTGTCATTTGAACCTGCGTCAGAGCCGTGACGTTTCGCGGCGTCCGCGTGGGAACGCCGAGCTGCGATGTTTTCCTTTCAAGTCGCATTTCAATTTTGCTAAAAAGCGAGATTGATTTCAGTTCTAACACTCTCCCGAGCAATACAGAACGACGTTTCGCGCACCAGCTCTGCCCGTGCGTCGCGTGTCGGACAGGAGTGCAACCATGGTTGCAGCCTCCGATCAGCGCGGTTGGCTACGTACGGTGCAAAAGAAGTTCGATATACACACGACGAGCACACCTCTGGACGCTTCGACAGCCAGTCCTGATTGTGACCCATCTTCTTTGGTTCTTTCGGTAAAGTCACCACGTAGAATGAGAATAAAATAATAAATTGATAAAATAAAATAACACAATAATATTCTCACGACGTTTCGGCCACAACACAAGCGGCCTTCATCAGGTGAGGACAGAGCTGGAGTGAAATACAGCCAAGCTCAGACCGCGACCTTTAAGCTGTGTGAGAGGAACAAAGCGCCTTGACAAGGCGCTTTGTTCCTCTCACACAGCTTAAAGGCCGTGATCTGAACGTGGCTCTTTCACTCCAGCGCTGTCCTACCAGACAGTCTCGTCCCTTCACCTGATGAAGGCCGCTTGTGTTGTAGCCGAAACGTCGTGAGAATATTATCGTGTTATTTTATTTTATCAATTTATTATTTTATTCTCATTCTACGTCACTTTACCGAAAGAACCAAAGAAGATGAATCCTTGCAGTCACGAAAGCTTTAAATCGAAAATTTGATTGTGACCGTTAGATGACACCGCTTGGAGAGTCATCTTCTCGGTGAGACGTCTCCTTGCCCACAATTGACTCAACAAGCTCGTCAATAACACCGTGGTAAATCAAATAAAAAAAACAAACACACAGAAAGACGTTTCGGGCCAAAGGCCCCTTCTACATGGCGCACACACCGACACGCACAAAGTGTTCGCGTCAATCTGGTGTTGCTAGTCGTGCTTGTCACGCCACTGCCGACGCAGCAGCAGCAGCAGTCGACAAATGATCGATGTAAACCGCGCCGGTAACCATTCGGTGACAGGTTCACACTCGGCTACGGGCGTTCCGTCACCCCACATTGCCTCGTCTCCTCCGGCACGCGCAGCGCCTCCGTCTCTCGCTCGCTTCCTCCCTTCCTTCCTCTCATTTCACGGCCACATAGCCCCCCCCCCCCCCCCCCCCGCCGTGCCGGATTATCCTAGTAGCACAAGTAGCTACATATGTAGCTAGCTTCGGGCCCCGCACTTTCAAGGACCCCGCGCTATAAACGCTTTCAAGCTATCAATTCCGGTTCAGTGATTCAGCACTTGTTCTATTACTATAGTAAAAAAATGCGTGTTTTAATATTTACGTGTTTTTTTATTTTTATTTTATGTAGGGCCCCTTTAGAACATCATGCTACAGGCCCCGCACTCGCTTCATCAGGCACTGCCGCACCCCCCCGTATAGCCTTGACAGACGTTCGGCAGGGGGCAAGCGCTGTTCGCGAGTCGCAGCACACCAATGAAGGCCCGCACGGCACACGACAGCCACACAAGGCACGCAAACGCACCGCACGCATCAATGCGTTATCACGGCAGGGGTACAAAGCGACTTACCACGTCTCGTTCAAAGTGATTTACTAATTGCATTTTCTCTTTCTCTCCATGAGGTTACAGAGAGCACATGCTACTACTAATAATTATAAAAAAGAAACGTCGTGCAGTGACGTCATTGGCGTGTGGCATCCGGTGGGGGGTGATGTCTAGGGGAGAGTGGGGGGGGCGATGGAGTTCGATAGATTCCTAAAATGATAACTCCCGACCCTACATCGAGTTCACGCCCTCTGCCTCCTTTTCCCCTCCCTCCCAAACCAAATCCCCCACCCCACCCCACCCCTCCACCCCGCCCACTCCTTCCCACCCCCTCTGCCACCCCCCGTCCTTTTAGCCTAATTAATTATCTCACATTGGCCACGCCTACAGAAAAAATCTTTTAATAAGTTGAGCGCGAGAGTGACGGTGGGTAGGAGTCGCGTATTCTTCTGGCCGTCAGCGAATTCAAGCCCTCCCCCCCACCACCACCACCTCCTCTCGCTCTCAAGCCATCAGCGGCACTCCGGCTCTCGAGCCACCCGACTCTCGTTCTCCCGCGGGGCCTCTCGTCCCTTCTCTCGTGTCGCTTCCGTGCAGCTCCCAGTCGCGGTGGCCTTGAGTGCCCGTCTCTGCTCTCTCTCTCTCTCTCCTCACCCTCCTCCTCCTTCTTCTATTCGTTTGCAATCTCTCAGATTGTGTTGGCGTCTGGCTCCGTGAACTCTCTCGTTGCCACCGTCCGCTCAAAGCGTCATCCGTCTCTCAAATCTACGCGCGGCGTTCTTCCGTCGGCATCTTCTCGGTCCGTCTCCCGGGTTCATCTTCAACGATGTGGGCTCGGCGGACTGTGTGTCTATTGCTTGTGTGCGCGACCTGCTCGCCACAGCCCAGCTCGGCCTACCCTCCGCCCAGGTGAGTTACACGTCAGCCACCGACAGAGATCGAGAGGTCACCATCGGGAAGCCTGGGGGAGGGTTGCGCGTTGGTAATTGGCTGGAAATGTCACAACGCGCTCGCCACGGGCGTTTAGGGGTCGGGTTGTGAAGCGGACTTGCTGATAAATGGATGGATGCTCAAGTCAGAACACTTCCAGATTATTTCGCTGCTGCAGCAGCATCGTCATCATCAACGGCACCATAGTTTTTGTTTTGTATTACGTTATTAAAAATCGCGTGACCGTCCGTGGCAAATACGACGTTGAGACCCCGTGGCACGAGGTCGCTCAGTGTAAGCCACCGACGATGTGACGGTTCCGTCGTAATTGTACGCGGCAAAAAGCCATTGCAGCGGACGAAGGATCTGCCCCGTCCAGAACATTGCCAGGATGTTCCTGGCCGAGCGAAAACAAGTGGCACGGCCTGGACCTCACCACGTTTTAGTTGAAATCTGTTGAGACGAGCTGAAAGGAAAATTCGCTCAGATTGTAGGTGCGGTTCAAAATCGCGTGAGATCAAAGCGCTGAAAGTCTAGGTTAGTGGTCAAGCTATGGGTTTTAGGCAATAGGTGATGTCGTGAATTGTGTCAGGTGAGGCTAACAGGGTGAACAGTGGCAGGGTTTTGACTCCCTTAAAACCAATGCTGGTGAACTCGCCCGTTGTTCCTAGAGGCTCGGGCCCTCTCGGTAAGAAACGGGCAGCAGGAGGCTTCGTTCTCGTGCCAGTGGCTCTTCTTCGGTGGCAGAGAAGAGGTGGCAGTCGCAATATTCGATTGGCCTACGTTGGAGACAACGTTTCGAGACATCGTGAAAACACCGTGATATTTGGCGATAAAGCTGATGCAGGAATATATTCCTTCGAAGAGATTATCGGCAGCAAACAGACCTTGAAAGAATGTAGGGTTAAGTGCTCGGTTGCCACTAATAATGAACAGAGTTTATGTATTATAAATGTCAAAACGCTTACACGGTTCCACATTGGGAGCGTCTATTTCTGTCGTCTGCTCTCAAGAAATTACCGTGTAAGAGTTCTTAGCATACCGAAGTCGTAAGCATCTTTCATGTATATGTTAAGAACATATATATAAAACAGACCAATGTCACCTCCAAATGTCCGTCTCTCCAGCTTACAAAATACAATTACCAAATAGCTGAGTGGGCCTGACCTGCTAAAATAAAAATAGTCAGAACAAAAAAAAAGGGCGTGCATAGACACTTGAAGTAGACTGATGCTTGTATGTGTACGTATAGCACGTGGAGATGGGGGTTGCTAAATCTGGTAAAATAAAATGACGTTAAAATCCGTAGAAGCAGTATACCTTTTCCTGCGCGTATTATCATTATTATCATTATTTACACTCAGTGAAAAAAATCGCTCAACGCAAGAAGGGCATTGGGCCCGGGTTTCTACCCACCGCGGTTCTCATCGTCGGTGTTTAGGCCTGCCAGACCCGGTTCGAGTTTGACAGACGGGACCTTAGGGGTGGCATTGCGACACGGGAGGTATTGCGAGTAGACAAACCGCTGATGGAGGTCCCGTGTTCAAAACGTCGAGGAGCGCGTGACGTAGAATTTTTGGGTAGACCCTGGATTCGCCCTCGCAACGTGTGGTCGGTTAAATTTTGATTTGAAGCTTTCGTGACCGCAGGGATTCATATTCCTGGTTCTTTCGGTAAAGTCACGTGGAAGGGAAACAATAAAATAATAAAAATATAAAACAATAAAATAATAGAAATATACGTGACTTTACCGAAAGAACCAAGAATATGTGTGGTCGGTTGTTAATTATTGTATAATTAATTGGGCATTAACGTTTTGACTGTAAATGGGAGTTTATAAAAAGTTTATTTTTTTGGGGGGGGGGGGGGGGGGTGTTAGATCGCTTAAATATATAAATGTGTCGTTAAACCCTCACTTAAAAAAACAACAACCCTGTATTATGAATGATATTGGTCGCGAAAGCCTACGTGGGTTTAACCCCGCTAATGACACCACAATGGTGATCTACCGTAATTACTGTAGTACTCCCGATCACGAGAAGCACTTTTATCTACGAATTGTATTCAAAAGCAAAAACGTTGCAGGTGTGTGTCTCCTACAGTCCCATAGGTGTGTTGTGAGTGTAGCGGTTAGCGCGCCACGCTACGAACCCGGCGACCTGAGTTCGATTCCCGCTCGCGGCTAACACATAATCAGTGCCGAATATCTAAACCGGTCCTGGGCCTCCCCTAGGTAAACTCAGCCTCAAATGAGTACCTGGTGCAGTGTGTGAACATTGCCACGAGGGAGACAAAGGCGGCCGGCCGTGGTGCTGGCCACCCACCCTCTCGTGTGCCGTGCTTTAAGAGGTGCTCGCTAACAGCACTTGACCCAACAGTCTGTCATGCCGATACGGGGGATATATGTTTGGGGTGAGTCTTACTTTCCGGAGCGTCGCACGGTACATTATAACGATACTGATCATTGGGCAACTATGATGGAAAAAAAATCCATGTCACCTGCGCAGGCGCGAGCTCGATTACCTTTGGGAGCGAATCTCAGGACTAAATGTAAATTAATTATAATGAACAGAAAAGTGAGATCGGACACGGGGGGAGATGGAGCATTTAAATCAGCGCGTGTGCAGGCGCTGGGGTGGGATATTACATCGCGGGATTATGACCAGAGGTGGCTTAAAGAAAACCGCTAAACATGGAACGTAGCACCAATGTTGGTCCAACGTTTCCCACCGCAAACTCAACGTTGGCTTAACGTTGTTTTTTTTCCTCCCCTTCCGGATTCACCAAGAACCTATGGCGAAGCAATGTCACGCGTACCAATTGTTGTTGTTGTTGTCAGTTGTTGCCGCAACTGCCCCGTCCGAATGTCAGACGATCGAAACGATTCCACGCCCCCGGTGAGCGACGGCGTGTTCAACATCCACGACCCAACAGCGGTCGCTTCAACGACGCCCGTAGTTATAACGGGACGATAACACGTCGACGACGGGGCACGAGACGAGCGAAGCGACGTCAAGCCGGGTGGGGGTCGCTCTTTTCCGTTTCGGGTCTCAATTATCGAGGCGGCGGCGGCTTCGCCCACAGCATTTGAGCTTGCCGCGAGCGATTGACGAGAGGACCTCACGGACCTCACGGTGGCCCTCACGGTGGCCCTCACGGTGGCCCTCACGGACCTCATGGTCGCCCTCACGGACCTCACGGTCCTCACGGTGGCCCTCACGGTGGCCCTCATGGACCTCACGGTGGCCCTCACGGACCTCACGGTGGCCCTCACGGTGGCCCTCACGGACTTCACGGTGGCCCTCACGGTGGCCCTCACGGACCTCACGGTGGCCCTCACGGTGGCCCTCACGGTGGCCCTCATGGTCCTCACGGTGGCCCTCACGGACCTCACGGTGGCCCTCACGGACCTCACGGTGGCCCTCACGGACCTCACGGTGGCCCTCACGGTGGCCCTCACGGACCTCACGGTGGCTCTCACGGTGGCCCGCGGGCTTCTCGATGCGCAACGCCGCGCCGCACGTGGCCCGGATGTGGTGCAGTGGGAGTCGTTGCCCGGTCATCTACACCGACGAACTATCACGCCCCTCGGAAATCAGAGTCACCAGTGTTTATTGTTTGCTGGAGGAGGAATGAAGCGTGAACGGTGGTGGGGTGGGGGGCGGGTTCCGTGGTCAATGCAAAGGACAGACGGAGCCTCGTTGAAGAATGTGGAGCGGTCCAGACGGCTGTGCAGTGTGTATGCTATTGTCTGGAATCAGAATATTTGGGGGAATCCGAGGAGCTATGAAGCTACCTGTGCACCTGTGGACCTGTGTACCTGTGTACCTGTGGACCTGTGTACCTGTGGACCTGTGTACCTGTGGACCTGTGTACCTGTGTACCTGTGGATCTGTGCACCTGTGCACCTGTGGATCTGTGGACCTGTGTACCTGTGTACCTGTGGACCTGTGTACCTGTGGACCTGTGTACCTGTGGATCTGTGCACCTGTGTACCTGTGGACCTGTGTACCTGTGGACCTGTGTACCTGTGGATCTGTGCACCTGTGTACCTGTAGACCTGTGTACCTGTGGATCTGTGGACCTGTGGACCTGTGTACCTGTGTACCTGTGCACCTGTGGATCTGTGGATCTGTGGACCTGTGGACCTGTGGAGCGGTGGCGCAATCGGTTAACGCGCTGCGCTACGAACCCGGGCGATCCGAGTTCGACCAACACCGCCGGTGACGAATTCCATCCGAACGGCTCCTGGGGCCTCCCCTAGGTCGACTCGGTCTCAAAAGAGCACCTTGCTGCGAGGCGTAAAACATCGCCACCGAGGGAGACAAAGGCGGGGCCGGGCGTGTTGCTGGCACGCTCAACCCCTGCTTCGTGTGCCGTGCCGGCCTTCGTAGGTGCTGCTCGCTAACAACAGCGCTTGCCCCAGCAGTCTGTTACAGGCTCACGTGATTTTTATTCGTAATAAAGGTTGTTTTTGGGTTAGATCGCCCAAGTATAAATGTGTCGAAACCCTCCACCACCCGACACGGCCAACCAGTAAGGGATTTGTCACGTAAACAAAACGCCAAGGAGTTACTACTTCAGCCCACCGCTGTGTTGGGACAGTAAATCCACAACATTTACAATTTGAGTAAGTACAACGTTTCGCTGGTAACGACATCGACCAGCATCATCGGAGAGTTTGCCAGAATAGTGAAGCCATGCACCTGCTTCTCGCCTTAATTAGAGCGGCAGCAGCACGACGTCATCGCTGAACCCACTCAGGTACAGAGATCAGAGGCGGAGGAGGTGGCGGGGGGGGGGGGGGCTATTGTAATTTTATAATCGATTTTGATTGTTTGCGTGTTTTTCTTCCACCCCCCCCCGCCCCTTCCTCTCTCTCTCTCTCCACCACAGAGACATGGAGAGAGGGACGAGTCTCGAGACGAACGAGGCGGGTCTCGATCCCGCGCTAGTGGTCGGTTGGTACGGAACCTGTTGGCACGCGCGAAACCCCCAGCAGTCGCGATCCGAGGAGGGCCCTGTGGCTATAACCGGTCAGATTAATCACCGCGATCGATTAATCACCGCGATCGGCATTGATCAGTCGCGACAGCAGCCCCCCAAGCCACTCACCCGTCAAGTCGCGGCGATGCGTAGGGCCGACGTTTCCGTCGGCGGCGTTTTAATCCGACTAAGTGAGCTGCAGCAACTCGAGCAAAGTGATTAATTAATCCGCTCATCCAAGTGTCACCCTCTGAAAGTTACCAAGTTTACAGCGGGCCCCACTTACATTAAACCGCGTGCTTCGCGTCTCATTGAAGAGGGGCCGCCGTTAATTGACTTTGGTTCTGCTCGTGGGTGTAAGCTGAAATTGGTCTGTGGCTCGCCAAGAGCATTTTCCCCAAACAGCCTGCTGAGGCTATACCGGGGTGACGGGGATTTTTGTCTTTCTGCAGGGTGATCGTGGTTCCTGCGGATTCCGTTTCCCGACCGATCGTGCTGACTCCGTCTGAGACGCGGCTCCTACTCAGCGGCCCTGGCGAGACATCAGCCCTGCAGTCCAACAGCCTGCACCAGTACATACACATGCACAAACACACACACAAAGACAAATAGAAGGATCCCCCGTATAGCCTTAACAGACTGTAGGGAGCAAGTGTTGTTAGCGAGCACCTATGAAGGCCGGAACGGCACACGTGGAGGGTGGGTGGCGATGTTTACACACCGCACCAGGTACTCGTTTGAGGCTGAGTCGATCTAGGGGAGGCCCTAGATCGACTCAGGTCGACGACGGCTGGCACGGCACACGGGCCCCAGTGGAAGCCGTGCTTTAGTCTGCCAATACTCTTCTAGATTTGAAGCTTTCGTGACTGCAAGGATCCATACTCTTTGGTTCTATTCGGTAAAGTCACGTAGGTAAAAATAAAATAACAAAAAATCACGACGTTTCGGCCACAACACAAGTGGCCTTCATCAGGTGAAGGGACTGAACTGTCCAGAGGACAGCGTTCAACGCTGTCCTCTGGTCTGCCAATACTGCAAAGCATCACGATTGCGATGCAGTCTCGCTGAGCGGCACTCCCAGTGGCAGCCGCCCCCGTGCCAGTAGCACGTGACTCGGCACCGGGCCTGCCAGTAGGGTGTGCGTGGATATGTGTTGGACTTCTTTCGCGTCGCACGTTGTCAATCGTGTTCATCAGAGGTGGAGCTTTGGGTGGAGGCAGTGGCGTGGTAAACTACATTATCAGTGGTGTAGCGACTAAATTGTCAGGGGCATAGTAACAACATTGTTAGTTCAGAGGGGGTGCGGCAATCGGTCGGGTGGAGTCTCCAATATTTGATTTGTCTCACACAGTCGCACCCAGGCTATTCTATATCGCGGCTCCGCTTGCCTAAATCACGTCGTGGTTACCCTCACGGTCTCGCACATTTAACGCTGTAGGAGGCACTCCGTCTACCTGGATAGACCGCGATGATGATGACGACAACATGGAAACAAACGCGCGATGCACAAATTCGCGGACGCCAAACATTTACTCCGCTGGTCGAACTAAAAGAGAATGCAACTTGGAAACCAAATGAAAGCATTTTCACGAAACGTGCATTTAAACCGCGTTTTCCATCAGCGTTGTTGCTCTTTTGACAAACGTTGTCGAAAACACCGCTCGTGGTGGTAGTTGTCAAAGGCCCCCTCCCCCCGCCAAATTCGTAGCTTCGGCCATCAGGGGGGGGGGGGGGGGCAGGCACCCCCTACCTGCACCCCACGCTCGTTACGCTACTGGGTGGTGGTATGGGTGGTCGCAATGGCTGCTGCTGCTGCTACAGCCGTGTGTGCGTTTTTGCGTGATCCCCATGGGAGTAACAAACCAAATGATCCCCCCCGCCCCCCACACCTCACCCCCCCACCTCACCCCCCCCATCTCACCCCCCTACCTCACCACCCCCTCACTTCACCCCCCCCCCCACCTGCGCGTCCTCCAGGCCCGAGGAGGAGGAGGAGGAGGCGGCGAGGAGCTTGGTGCACAAGCGCGCGTGCAACACGGCTACGTGCGCCACGCAGCGCCTCATGGACTTCCTGAGCCGCGCGCGCGGCATGGAGGGCGCCGGCCCCACGGACACGGGAGCCAGCACGTTCGGGCGCAGGCGCCGCTAGGGACAGGGCTCCCTGCACGGACCCCACATCCCACCTACCCCCTCCCTCCTACCCCCTCCATCCCCCCACTTATCGTCCCTACCACCCAGGGCCGGATTCAGGCACGAGCGGCTTTAGGGGGCCGCAGCCACAGGGGGCCTCCGCCAACTGGAGGGGCCTCCAGAGACGAAGTGAAAAGTGATTTCGTTCGTGAATGCTGAACTTGTATTTGTTGTTCGCCTTGTAAAAAAAAAAATGCAATTTTATTTTTCTTTAACTTTGTTTTCCTTTTGAAAATATTACTGGGGGCCTCGCAGTACCTGCAGCCCAGGGGGCTTATACACAATATTAATCCGGCCCTGCATATCACTAGGATATCCACCTCCCCCCCCCCCCCCATGGGTCGAGTCAAGATTCCCCTTGGGGATACCTTCAAGGTCACCGGCAAAACAAAATAACGACAAGAACAGGAGGAGAAACATTGTTGTTGTTCGAATTCGGTCCAGCAACTGAGTATTTAAAGAGCCGCAGTGCACGTGCATGCGTTACGTTCCGCTGCATTACAGTGCACGTGCATGCCCACGCCACGTTACGTTCCATGGCGTGACGAAGCAGTCTTTAAAAGCCGCAGGCTGCCGCCCACCCCTCCCCTGTTCCAAAGGCCATCAATCCCCACGCGCCTTTCCGCAATCATCTCCCCCTGCCGTCCGCCCACCATGGATCCCACACAGATCTCGCGATGAATTCCTTCCAAAGATCGTCCCCTGAACACTGACAAGCCCTTCCACCCCCCGGCGCCCTCCCTCCCCCCATCACCGCCCCCCCCCCCCCCCACCACTGGAGGGCCCCTGACCTCCCACCTCACGGAGGCCCCCCCCCCCCTTCTCCAAAGAGGCTCCGCCTATCCTTTGCATTGACCACGGAACCCCCCACCCCCCCTCTCCGCCTTTGACGAGCCGAAAGAATCGCTTCATGCCGCCCCTTAATTTCATATTCTTTGGTCTTTCGGTAAAGGCACGTCGATAGGCTCAATCTACTTACTGGACATCTGTTTGGAGGAGGAAGAGCTTAAAAGCTCATCGGATCCCTCCCAGCATAGATAATGATACTGATTGACTTACAACGGCCTACGCTTGACGTCTTAACCGCTCCAACCCTCCTGCCCCTACCCTCTCGCCCCCAGCCTCCACCCAGAACCTCCCTCTCCCTTGTCCGTGTCATGGAGCCACGAGTCACTCTGGGCCCGTGGCTTTAAGTGAGCACGGAACGCTCCCCCCCACCCCACCTCCCACCCCCCTTCCGATATTAGGAAGCCACTGAAGCTGTGCACATTTAAATCACCTCGACGGAACAAACTTTTCGTTTCTTTCGAACTGCTTTTTGTCTTCACTTTGTTGTCCGCCACTCCGCGCACCTCCGAGTCGCGCGGTTTTTGCTCCGCTGCGGTGCGAAAGGGAAACTCGACAGACAGACACGAGCACGTGCGCTTCTCGCGCCTGCGACCACGTGTGAATGGCGCTGTACACAGGCTGCTTCAAACAAATGTTAACACCTAGGTGAGACTATTGTTTTTAATTTAACAAAAAAGAGAAAGACTCGGATAATAATACACTGCAACTTGATAACAGATGTGATGTTAAAAGCTTCGAAAAGTCAGAGAGTTCTCCCACTTTGTTCGCCATCGTTGTCAACGCGTGGCCTGGAATCTTCTCCCGGTGGTCTCCAGAGCCCGGAGGCAGCAGCACATTTATTGTGGTGGTGTTGTTGCAAATTCTCGGAAGTGTTAACATTCTTTTGAAGCACCTTGTATTTTAAAAAAAACTGAGTTTTACTCACTTATCAATATAAAGTAAAAAAAAAACACAAATGATTGAGATATTTAGTTCCAGCGCCTTGAGGCAATTTATGTGCCATGTGTGGAGGCAGGGTCTGTCTGCTCCGTCTTTACTTTGGGGTGGTGGGTGGGAGGCAGGGCAGTATTGGCCCTTTACGATTTGGCGCCTATGGCTTGCGACGGTCCAGCCACATTCACAAATCCTGGGTGGGGGTGTGGTGGCTTCTTTTTTAATCTATGGTGGCCTTTTGTTTTTGCCCAGTAGCAAATATGATTTTTAAAAAATATATATGAATAGATTTTTACCCTTTCTGGCAATGAAACAGCAGGTTCTGAAGATATTCAAACACCAAAGAGATTTACCCCTTGTTTTTTTGTTGTTGCAAGCAATCGAGTCGGCATTAGCCACGCGTGCTTGTGGCCAAACATGCAAAACGAACAGAAAGGGCAAAAACAACCGATTTGGCATTACTTTGATACTGGAAACAAAAAGTGCCGTATATAAATAACCACTGCTCAACCCGTGCACGCGGATGCCCTGACACGGGCATTGCATTTGTACCGTTCGCCTTTCGGAGCCCTCCCGCCGGACATAAAATTGGTGCGACAAGGTCAGGAAGAAGGCTGTCTCTGGGGTAGGCCAATCGGGGGAGGGGGGGGTGGCTTTTCTTCGTTGTTTGTTTGTTTGTTCCACTTGTGCATGAGGTAGGGGTGGAGGGGGTGGGGGTTGGGGTGATGCGGCGAGGGTGGTCACCAGTGGACTTCTGGTCGGACATCGGAGACCACAGGAGGATGGGAGTGGAGGGAGTGGAGGGAGGGAGAAGTAGGAGGGGAGGGAGGGAGTGGAGAGAGGGAGAAGTGAGAGGGGAGGGAGGGAGTGGAGGGAGGGAGAAGTGGGAGGGGAGGGAGTGGAGGGAGGGAGTGGGGGGAGGGAGAAGTGGGAGTGGAGGGAGTGGGAGTGGAGGGAGGGAGTGGGAGGAGGGAGAAGTTGGAGGGGAGGGAGTAGGGAGAGAGAGAAGTTGGAGGGGAGGGAGGGAGTGGAGGGAGTGGGAGAGAGAGAAGTTGGAGGGGAGGGAGTGGGAGGGGAGGGAGGGAGTGGGGGGTGAAAATGATCTGTCCGTAGTAAGTGGGCTCCTCTTCTCCAATGCGTTCTGCTCATCAGGGTCTGTTGGCTGTGGTCTAACCCCCCCCCCCCCCGCCCCACACCCCCCGCCCGAAGGCAGCTTGATCTAGCCACCCACTCTGGACTCCCACGCCCGAGCTCTGACCGCGCTTGTCCGAGATCTCATGCGAATCCCCGCGACAGCGCTCACTCTAAAGCGAACAAAATACACTTACACGAATTGACAAACATCCCTCCTCCCCCACCCTCTAAATGCACACACGTATAACTCCTTATGCCCGCGATTGCGTGGGCATGGAGGCCTGTCGATTGTGATGGTGTGTGCGCGAAGATGATTTATAATGCCGCGTTCAAAATGTGTTGCGCCGCTAACGAAACGTTTCATTTCCTCGTGTATTTATTAAAAGCTCGTTTGGAAACGCTTCGGTCAAAAAAAAAAAGTTGCACATTCGACCGCGCGCCCAAGCGGGTGAGCAGTGCGCGCGTCTCTCGGCCGCGAAGCTTTGCGGCTGTGAAGTTCGAGACGATTATCCCTGGGTGACGCTCACGCGAGGCTTAGGGGCCGTCCATAAATGACGTCACGCATCTATGAGAGGGGGCGGGGGGGGGTCAGGCATTTGTGACGATGTGTGACGAGGGGGGCGGGGGGTGGGGTTTGAGAAATGTGACGTCACATCAAAATGCGCAACTTTAAATAAATATAGAATTATTCTTGGTTCTTTCGGTTAAAGTCACGTATAGAAGGGAAACAATAAAATAATAAAAATATAAAACAATATAATTCTCACGACGTTTCGACTGCAACACAAGCAATCATCATCAGGTGTGAAAACCACAGCAAGAAAATGTAATAAAAAATAAAATAAAAAATAGAATTGTTATAACAACACTCCTACAACATCAGAGTGCAGCGCCACATTAAATACGCACTACAATGACAATAGTTTAAAGCGATTTGAAGCATGTTTTATTTTCAAAATGGAAATATGGTTTTGGGGGGGGGGGGGGGGTGGGCAGAGCTTTGTGACGTCATATTTGAGGCGGGGGGGGGGGTCTGACTTTTTGTGACGCCGTGTGACGAGGGGGGGGGGGTCCAAAATCGTCCAAAATCGCGTGACGTCATTTATGGACGGCCCCTTAACGCTTGGGGTGACGCCGCGGTTCAAGCAACTTTCCGCTTGACCTTTCTCGGCACAGCAGCAGCAGCAGCACCAGCAGCAGGAGCACCAGCAGCAGGAGCAGCACCAGCAGCAGGAGCAGCAGCAGGAGCAGCACCAGCAGCAGGAGCAGCAGCAGGAGCAGCACCAGCAGGAGCAGCAGCAGGAAGGAAGGAAGGTCCGGCGATGCGATCACGACGTCGTCACGGGAGCGGTGGAACGGCGATTAAAGCCGCGCCTCCGATTAGCACGGTTGGCTACGTGCGGTGCGAAAGAAGTTCAGCGTACATACGTAGACGGGGATGCACCACGGGCAGCGTCCACCACGGGCAGAGTCCACCACGGTCCACCACGGGCAGTCACCACCACAGGCAGCGTCCACCACGGGCAGTGTCCACTACGGGCAGAGTCCACCACGGGCAGTGTCCACCACAGACAGAGTCCACCACGGGCAGAGTCCACCACGGGCAGTGTCCACCACGGGCAGTGTCCACCACGGGCAGTTAGTTTAGAGTATACACACAAACACTTTTTTTTTATTTGTGATCGAATGCTCCAACAGACGACGTTTCAAATCGCAATCCACTTCCCACCCCCTCCATGAAGCTCCCGTGATGAACATTTTTCTTTCGAAAAAAAGACGACCGGAGTGCCCTCGCTATACCGACTATAATCACCCAGGGAATGTCTGTCCTGAACGCTCGTGACGTCACTCCACATCGACCAGCTCCCCTCGTTAATATTCATGAGCAGGTGACGTCCTCCAAATGGACATCCCCCCCCCCCCCGCTCAAGCGCTCCTCATTAATAATCATGAGCAGGTGACGTCGCTCCACATGGCGCACCCTCCCCCCTCATTAATAATCATGAGCAGGTGACGTTACTCAACATCGAACAGCCCCCCTCATTAATAATCATTATAAGGTGACTCCAAATGGACACCCCCGCCCCCCACCAATAATAATAATTAGCGGCTGACGTCACTCCACATGGGGGGGGGGGGGGCGAGGCGCCTCCTCCACCCTCCTCGGAGAAAAAAAGTTCACGCGACCACGGGGAGAGAGAGAGACGCAAACTCCAAATATAAAGCAGGCGTCAGGGTCGGGATCGAACCCACGACGTCCTGTATAACGGGCGAGGCAGTTAACATCTCCCAGCCACCGTGATGATGATGAGAGAAAGAGACACGCAAACTCCAAATATAAAGCAGGCGTCAGGGTCGGGATCGAACCCACGACCTCATGTATACCAGGCGAGGCAGTTAACATCTCCTAGCCACCGCGGCGCCCGTCAGAGTTAATGATATCGGGTTGGTATGAATGTTCGGTATCAATAGCAATGTCCCGAGTGGTTGACCGCAGTTGATGCGTCTCCTTTGAGTTATCTGGCCACCTCCGGGCAATGAAAAAAAAGACTTAGATATTCTTAAATGTTTATATCCGCGTACCATTTTTAGATTATTTGAGCCCAAATTATATTCCACTCACGATGACGGGGTAGATTTGGAAACCACTCGCCCAACCATTATTTAAACTGCCGCACCGGGAGACCTAACCATTAGAAAAGACAGAGAGATCCCTCGTGTAGCCTGTAACAGACTGTCGGGGCAAGTGCTGTTAGCGAGCAGCACCTATAAAGGTCAGAACGGCACACGAGGGGGTGGGTGGCCAGCACCACGCCCGGCCGCTTTTGTCTCCCCAGTGGCGATGCTTTTACGCACCGCATCCAGGAACTCATTCGAGGCCGAGTCGACCTAGGGGAGCCCCAGAACCGGTTCAGATAAATCGTCACCGATGTTGGCCGTAGAGCGGGAATTGAACTCGGGTCGCCAGGTTCGTAGCGCAGCGTAGCGCTAACCGCTATACCACCGCTCCCCCCCCATCCAATTACTGTCATCAGTGGCAGCGGCAGCCCCGGCAATGAGTTTCCCTCGCATGCCCAAGCAGGCCCTCGCACACATCCCGGCAAAACTCCTCACATGAACCCAACCCATTCATAAAAACCGAGTCACCTCGCGTAGACCCAGCAGCACCCCCCTTCCCCCACCCCCCGCCTTCCCTCTCCATTCATAAAGTCTCCTGGACACCACCGACGACCAATATCCGCCTGTAAAGCCTTCAACAGACTGTTGGGGGCAAGTGCTGTTAGCGAGCAGCGCCTATAAAGGCCGGG